CAGTCAAAAAACTTTACACCAAATGATTGATTGACTTTCAAAACAAAATCAAAACATATTTGTCTCATAATTTTCACTAAAATACTGAACAATCAGAATAAGAGCAAGAATTTCGTGTGAATACAAAAGCATACGAAAAATATTTCACTCATTAATGCCATTGTCTTTGCGAAAAGTCATTCATACCGATATGAATACAGAATATATTGTCATTCATTTGTATTATTATATTAATATGAATACAAAAAAACATATTATAAAACACTTTTTCATTGCAATGCGAGTTAAGGGTCAGAAGATTTATGTCTCACAAAAGACTTTTTGCTAATAGTTTTTAGCGTTAGTCTTGCGGTCATTAAAAAGCATTTGCATATCAATAGCGAGATTCTTGTGAGACATCTGATTGTTTGCCACAATATATATATCACAATAATTATCAATATTACAGACAATAGCCATAGACTTATGATATTGCGATCGCTCTCTGAATTATGTAACTCTTAAATACCATTTAATAAGACTTTCAAATGAAAGTAAAAACTTTTGTTACAAAAACTTTTTATGACGACCTGTTTATTGGATCAAATCGCTTGTGTTATGTATATTAAAGTGTGTCTCGCATTCAAATGTCTTCATTTGCCAACAAATTACATCATATTATAAGTCTATAAACTATGTTTGAATATAACATATATTATAATACATATTATGCGAGGAATTTAATAATGTTTTTGAACCCAAGCACTACTAGACTTTAAAATATTGTTATTATTTGTATGAAAAATACAAGTATTGAATCAAAAGTGTGATCGAAATCTCATTAAATTTGTAATATATTATGAAAAATAAAAACTTGATAAATAATTTCTACATTAAGATTAATTGTGAACATTGTAATATTCAGTAGTAATTAGTCGCATACTAAATACTAACTAGTTAAAACAGATTTAAAACTTATAAAGTTTATAAACTTATAGACGTTTTAAGTTACATTTTAACGCAATGATAAAATAATGTTTTAAAACTATACATTAGTTTTAATTAATAAGTGTTTTGAAAATCGCTAAACACTTCGTAATATCAAAACACATATATTTATAGCCAAAAAAACATATCATTAATTGAATTAACTTTTGATTCAATTGTAATCACAAACACAGAGAGACATTAAGATACGAACGAATAGTATATCCAAACAATTAATACAATTAATGCTAATCTATTACATAATGTACTATACATTTGAAAGTATAGTAAAAGTGAAGCCTTTTGTCTCTCGAAATGTATTGACTCCGAGAGAAGACCTACTTTTTCACTGAAGACTTTATAAAACAAATTTTTTAAAAACAAAAGTCTCACTCAAATGAATGGAAAAGTAAATTCATACACAATATAATGGCTGAGTATTTGGACGCACAGGTAATAATAGGGTCACACAATTGAAAGTCAAACCCATTAATTAATATGGTATGAGCTGCCCGTCCACTGGGATAGTCAATAGTCAGTCCCCAATAACGCAGGAAGACTGCGTGTGTGTGTGTAGACTACCAGTCCTTTCGCTAACCAGACATACCTTACCATATATAAGACGCCCCAAACTTGTGGCCAACTTTTATTTCAAGTGAAAACTCATTTCGCGAGTGATTTCTCTATCAGTAGTTATGAAGTGTCGGTCCGTTTCCGATATTGTGATGTGATTGCAAAGGGGGGAACGGGAGATGATTGTATTTATTAGCTACCTGTGCGTCGGATTATCCGTGTACGCGGTCGATGGACAGTCGCCTAATCGTAATCAGGATGAGTGGTATAAAGAGGTAATTATATACAACTCACAGAATATTCTGTATATTTTTGTTTCAAAAACTTGTTACTAGTATTAAACACATAAAAACTTTTATAATTGCTATTATAATTTTATTTTAATAACTTTAACAAGTTTTATGAAATGTGATTACAAATGTATTCAAGCAATTATATCGCGGTGATGTGTAAAATTAATATATAAATTAATATACACATGGATTGCGCATAGTTTATATAATACAGGCTATTAATACACAATAATTATACATTTTGGCCGCAATTAGCACTAATCGTTGAGTTTACTGTTGAGTGCATTAAATTTAACTCTCATTTAACATAAATCTCAATATTAATACACTAAACAATTGCTCAATTGTGACAAATTAAGCATAGTATTTTTTACATAGCTTTTTATATTATATTCAATTGCATTGATCTGAATGAATGGATGAATAAATGTTCAAAAAATAAAATCAATCATTTAAATGAGCGTAAACTTGAATACAAAACGCTATACTAAATGCTAAATTAAATGCTATATCAATCTATAGACGGCTATAATTGTGATAATTATTTAGGTGTTAAACAAGTTTAAAAGCCTATGAATTAATTATATATGAATGTATGAGTGATTAGCAATTCATATCAATTTCAATACAATAACTATAATAAAAATAATTATCATTCAGTGAATGAACTGCCAAAAAGTGATGAGAAAAAACTTTTTGTATAATATATGATATTAATTGAAAGCTAATATAATTACCAGATTTAAATCGCACTACGATTATATTAATCGCTTATTATTTATAATCAAGTAATTAATAAATAAAAAACATTTTTAAAATAGTCAACAAATCCGGGTCACTCTCTGAGCGAAACAAATGAATTTATTTATAAACCTAACGCTAATTGTCTTTATATTGTCTCAAACAAAGCGATCACCAAAATCTCAATCCAATCACAAATACAATGAAAACAAAACAGATTTCATATCTAATCCCATAATTGTCTTAATTATCTGCTTCTGTATAGCAATGGCCGACACAGCCGTACGCTTTCGGATACGAGATCCGCGACTATAGCGGTATACATACACTACTAGTCATAGATTTTCCCATAGATTTTATACCAATATTTTTAATGTCCGGCACCGGTAGGTAACGAACAGTACCGGAAAGAGATGTCGGATGGCGAGCGAGTGACCGGTAGCTACGGCTACTTAGGCCCGGACGGCCTGTACCGGCACGTGGAGTACGTGGCCGACGAGAATGGATTCCGGGCTAAAATCAGGACCTCAGAGCCGGGAACCGCTAACGACAACCCGTCCAACGTTCAGATCGAGTCCAACCCCATTCCAGTCCCGTCTAACCCGACGCCAAGCGCTGGCGGTCCGCCACCACAGCCTTATAATCCCGGCAGCGGTGGCAGCTTTAGGCGGACAGACATACCTCGACCTCAGGGTACGCCCGCGAGCGGTGGTAATCCCGACCGAAGTACGTATGGCACGAGACAATTGGATCCATTGCCACCGCGAAGACCTGATCCCAGTCGTGGCGGTAATCCTAACCCATCGCCGGATGTGCTCAGAGATAGGGTTAACACGAATAGGGGGTCAGACGTGTCGGGCGCTGGAAATCCTAACTATAACGACCCGAATATAAGGGGCGACAATAGAGGTGGTGGACGGGTGGGTGCCGATAGAGTGCCCTACGCTGACATACCCGACAATATAGTGCCGTACAGAGGGGCTAACCCTAAAAAGCCGGTCATCAAGGACTCGGTGACCCCATTGAATGAATTTGTTGACCAAAGTTTGCCAAAGTTTGGCTCAAATCCCGATTATAACGACCCGAGAAATCCGAGTTACAGTCGGAACGAAGGGGTGAACCCTAGGCTACCGGATCCGCAGGCGTTTGTCGACCCGACTGACCCGCCATACGATCGACAGTACGACAGGCGCGAGGGCAGGGGTCGTAACCCGCAGTTTGATGACAATCGGGACCCGCCTATAGGGGGCTACGAAGTGACCACCAAAGGGGGTGCGCCTAAAGGGCCGCAAAAAACTTTTGGTTTCATTGAAGCGACAAAAGGTATACTTTTTTTGTTAATGAAATCCTTTATATAACAAAATATTCTGTACGCTAATCGCTGGTAAAACCGCTATTTAAAGGTCCCATAACTCCGATAAAACCTATTAATAGGTTCTTTGACGGGAAGCGACCTCAGGGTGTCTTCTACGACGACAATGAGGATCGTTATGACCAACACATCAACCGGCGCGTGGATGACGACCAGAGGGTGTCTGTGGTGAACAAACCGGTCTTCGAGGGCGTAGACACCCCTCGCAAAGTAGGCGTATTCGTGAGGAATAGGTATAACGCGACGGCGCCCGACGTTAAAGGTGTCAAACACGTAGGAGCGCCGACACCTCCGCCGATTAGGGACTCGTTTAACAGGTCACTGAACGGCACGTCCTATGAGGCGAATCAGGACAGACGTGACAAAGGCTATGACAATAGCCGGCGCCGACCTACTAAGGTGTTTGTCACCAGTGGTCCCATTAGTGGTGGCTTTGGTGGTGACAATAGAGCTCCAGTTCCTCCCATTAAGGGCAGCGACAGACCATTTGGTGCCATCGATGCCCAACAGAGACAACAACACATTGATGTCGATTACGACGACAATAAGGGGATCAGCGATGATGGCAGAGATGGTCAACAGATATCACCGTTGGATGGCATCAAAGGCCGGGTAGATAGGGATCGACCTCAACCTCCACCGCGAGAGCTGATGGGCATTCAGATACCGCCGCAGGCGCTGGATATCAGGCCTTATTATGGCGCTCGACATCAGGGACAGGGAGCTCGCAATCGGAGTCAAGGTATGCCTCCAGTCATACCACGAATGAGATAATAATTTTTTTGTGTCACTTTCGATGACCAGAAACAGTACCTCAACAGAGACCGCAGATTACGGCCAGACCTGTGCCACCATATGATCCCCGCTTTGAACAGCAAAACATACAGACGTCCGATGAGGACATCCCGGACCACCAGCAACGCGATGACGAGTACCCCATAGATCAGCAACAGATCCGGCCATTGGGTCCCCAACTGTACCAACCGTTGAGACCTAATGGTCGACCCGATCGACAGCCATCGCCACCACCGCCTCGACGACAGGACAGGCCCTATAAGCCGAGGACTCAGGACAGGGGTGGGGACAGGGGTTTCGTGGAGCAGCAGCACGTGGAGGTGCAGCCATACCAGACCCAGAGCTCGGCCACCATCAGCTCACCGGTCAATACAATCGCAAACGTGTATAAACCCATCGATAGTCTGGACGATAATAAGAGATCCGATGGCGTCGATGGGAAAGACAGGCCTAACCTAAACACGCCGTTATCTCCGTCATCCTATGTGGTCACACCATTCCCTGTCAATCAAAGTATTGTACAGATTAAGCCGATCCTAGGTAAGTTAGCGTCCAGTTATCAGCTATTAATCACGAATAACACATTAAACTAACCATGTTAAGTTATAAAATCATCATAAATTTTACGCTAAATCTCACTAAATGTTTGCTAAATATATTAATGACTGAATTAAACGTTAAATAAAGTTTTACTTAAATGTTAATAAAAGTAATGACTAAACTAATTTACTAAACTAATTAAATAAATTGTATCAAGGAGATTTATCTAAAACACAATGATTTATAAACTAATCGCGTAAACATACTACTAAACTATGGTTATGATAAATACTAACCACGCTAAGTAATCCAGATATAATTTGGTTTACATATAAGTGACAAAAAAACTTTTTGCTTCAATAAAACAAAAACTATTAAAAACTATAGACAACAGGCCGGACACATACACAGTGGCCCCGGAGGTGACACAAATGGAAATCCCGAAATTCGGGACCAGAATCCGCATACCCGGCCACTCGCTGGAGGAGGTGTACGAACCGGGCGAGGAGTTTGTGGACCAACACAACGCCGCCGACCCCCAGAATCAGGACTATCACCAGAATAGCGACCAAAACGTCGACAATCCTAACGATTATAGCGATGATAACGGCAATAATGTTCACGAAGAGAGTCCAGCCCTGCCTCCCATCCCTCCCATTGATAATCCTATGGCTCAGCCACTGATCTACGAGAATATAGACGGCGATCAGTACTACTACGACGACAATGAGGGTCAGCCGCCGGCCCAGGATGTCGAGGATAATCCCGAGAAGTCCATAGACTCCAAGAGTTTGGTTTACACGCAGACCATATCCCAGTCGCATAGGAGCGACCAGAAAGTAGACATCAGCTCCCAATCAAACTCCAGTTCCCCCATAGAGATCACACACAAAGTGATGAATGTGTTGAATTGGCACAAGTATGATAAGACGGAAGGCACCGGTAGTTAATAGTGAACGGAATGTGTGCGTAGGACTAGCTATTCATGTTTGTGCACAGGTAGTTAAGGAGGTGTTATATAAAGTTATTTAACGGTGGGCTGACACGCTAACTAAATTGGGGTCACCATTATTGTTATAGCAATAAATAGTATGGTTTTGTGTGAAAAACTATTTGTGTTTTTTTTGTTGCGTTTAGTTATTAAAAATATAATAATTAAATAGGAAAAATGCACAAATACCATGATACTATAATAATAATAATAATTAACTAATTTAATGCCATTTACTAATAATAATCATATGTCCATTAATTGTCACACGAATTCACGAATCATTGTTTTTTGTATGCATTATATATAAAAGTTTTTTTTTTGAGTTTTTTTTTCGAGAGAGAGAGAGATATTTGTCAATAAAATACAAAATACAATAAAAATCCATTAAAATACTGCTATGAATTGGTCTGCGAAATGGTGTGTGAATCAGCAAAAGTCTTGTGCCACCAATTAATTGGGGACTGGTAGGTACAGTATGTATATTATACACACAGACACACGGAACTGGTTTTGCGAAAACAACCCTATTTATACAGTAGTATACCTTTTCTGGACTGTTATCGAGTAAGTGGTGGTGGAAATGGGTCACTAAATCAAGTTCAGGGCTATATTTGTATACTAATATTGCATAACAAACACATCCCTGGCCTACGTTGCGCTCCATTGCCTTCCTTACCGCTAATGAAGTCTATTATCGTATAGTATTCGCTGAGAAAAATCTTTTGCCAACTTTTTTGCCAGTTTCCTGATACTAGACATACAGTTACTGGTAATCATCGCTTAAAAGGTATGTTACCCTATGGTTCCCCAATCATAGTATGATTTTTTCTAATTAACTAGTAATTAGCGAAGCAATCGATTCCTGTTAATAGGCTTATGAAATGTATTTTTAGTATTTTTAGTATAGATAAGGATTTTTTAGGTTTAGAAAAAAGTTTCCACTTTTTTGTGTTGAGTTAATGTTTTTTTGCTGAGAAAAACCGGATTTAAATTAATTTTCTCGAGTTTTTATACTAATTTCTAGAATTTATAATTATTTATTTTTTTGGTAACAGATATATTAAAGGATTTGTTTTTATGTATGATATAAATATAAACTTATATTTATGTGGTTTATTTTTTCTAATGTTTATGACAAAAAGTAAAGTAACTTTTTTGAAAAGTTAGTATAAATTTTATGCTAAATTTATTATTATTTAATTCTACTATAATATTAGATAATTAATAAGTAGTGTACAATATTTTAGTATAAACTTGAACTTAAAGTATAATAACAAAATGTTTTTATTTACATAATCTTGAAAACAATTTTAGTTTATTTATAAAAACCTTTTAATAAACACATTAAACTTGTTATTGAAAACCAAACCTTTAAACATTAAACTTGTCTTAAAAAACTATTTTTTATTTTGTTTATCAAAGTCTCATACAGTTTTAACTTTGTTTTTTACTAGTATTTAAGTACCAATACCCTGGTGACAATGAAGTGGATCGAAGTATTAACATTGATCTTATTAATCGGTTTGTAATTATAAAAATCACCCAGTCACAAATATCATTGAAATCTAACTGAAAACTTGTATTTATTCAGACATTTTGGTCACATTTTCGGTGACATTCGCCCAAAACTGGAACGACATTGTAATTAATTTCCATATAATTTGTTACCATTTAATGATAAAACTTAACACAAAAAACTATCAAAACTTTATAAATCATCTCTTTATGTCCAAAAACTATTTTACTCTCAAATTAACGCTAATTTTCAATCATTTTGACCACAGATTCAATACAATCAACCGAAACGATCGCAAACCAACTGCAGATTTCCTCTATTCTCGTGCCGTTTGTTCAATAAGTTTCGCTCGACTAAGAGGCAAACGGTATGTCATTATAGACACCTACCGTTCCCTACGAAAGCCATACCATTAACTACCATTAAATCCCATTTCACTCACTGGGACAGGGCTTTCAAAGCGCCGGACAATCGCCAAATCCTGCCTATTCTTACGACCAGTTAAGCCAATCATCGTCGGCCTACCCGTCCTATGCCGTACCGGTATATTCCGGGCCGTCCTACTCGCCAAACTACCAGAACTTCGGCTCGAACTACCAGCCCATGGGATACCAGGGTCAGGCGGGCGGCGACTACGCCATGGCATCGGCGCCTACCGCTCAATACGCCTCCTACGACGCCCAGCCACCACCCACTGGCTACACGGCTCAGCCCTACGGCCAGTCGCCCAACACCATAGACGTGCACCAAGTGTTGGATCAGTTCATTAGGTCGGCCGGCCTTAGCCCGCAGGGAGACCACGAGGCCGAGGCCTCCCACGCCTCCTCGTTCGCCAAAGCGGGCACTTCACCAGTACTGGTGTTCAAAAAGCTACTGTCCTTTCCCTTCTACTTGCACACCGACCCCAATGTGGTCGACATATACGGCAAAGGATGGAAGTAACGACACTTTAAGACAATATTAGCGTAGCTTTTAATATACGAGTGAATAATGACTTCACTAATGAGTGGACTTTGAGTTATCATTAATTATTTGATTCATTTGTTTCGGTCATAGATTTAACTGCTTTTCCCTATAGAGAGGTCTCAATAACATTAAGACATTTTCATACTATTTCTCGACACAAAAAATACCATTAAATGCCAGACATTACTGTATTTCCACTATTTATTAATATAAATATCAAAATAAAAATCAATAATTTTAAATAAAAATCTCAATTTCATAGTAAATCGATTGTAATATTACTATATAATGACAAGAAGTGTATACAAATTGATCCGTAATTATCTACTTATGATTTAAGTGTTAACCACTCATTGAGTGCTACCACCGAACCTACTGTTGAGGTCGCGGGCGATGTAATCCCAGTACTCCTTACGGATCACATCGATCCGAGTGGACAGTTGCGCGCAGAGCTCCAACGCCTTACCCAACAAACGGCTGTCCACTGGCACTGTCTGTCCACTAAGACTCTCATCGATGGCGTCGATCATAAACGACAACAAATGCGGCGATCGATGCGTTTCCAGACTCTTCCTCAAGTCGTCGCACATGGAGTTCACGACATCGCTGGCATTGAGCCCAATCTCAGCCATAATACCGCGTAAGTAGTTCCAGGCGCTCTCGTTATTGGGCGCCAACCCTATCTTATGGCACGTGTACTGAATCTCGGTGTCGAGGAATGGCGCCACGAATCCCGTGGTGTTGCGGATCACGTAATACCTGTGATTCCAGGCGCTGTTGTTGCGGATGTCGTCATCCATGAGCTCTTCGGTGTACTCGAGTTCGCCGGCGAACCGCTTGAACTCGTTGATCACCCATTGCCGGTGTTGCCATCCGTGGTAGTTCTTCGAGTCCTGTCTGATCATCACCGACACGAACCGCTTCTCCTCCTCCGCCAGTTCCGACAACTCTTTGGCCATCACTTTGCGAATCAAATGAGACACACATTCGTCAGTATATAAGACACATACATGTGATACACAGAAGTGGTTAAGAGTCTTAAGACAAGTGATACACACAGAGTGGTTAAGAGTACAAACTCAAGACTTACGGTCACTATCACCACTCGCGCGGTATTTGTCCCCAATCTGCGCCCGGATCTGCTCGACGACACACTTCCTGTGGTGCCAGACCTGATAGTTCTTCGCGTTCTCCACGATAACGGACTTAATATAATCCAATTCGCGCCACAAATCCGCGCCCAACTCGCGAAGAATCAATCGCCTGAAGTGCCAAATGGTGTAATTGGAGGGATTCAGTGCCGCGCAGTCCTCCGTCAGCTCCAGAGTGCGCGCAGACATCTCACTCGTGGCCAATACCGCGCGGAAGTAGTCGAAGGTCTCCCTAAACCTCTGCGAGTAGGCGATGGCCACCACCGGGTGCTGGCCGTCATTCTGGGGCACAGGTGTCACGTCCTGCCACTCCGGGCGTTGACCGTATGGCACGAAGTCGAGGGTCGATGAGTCGGATCCGCTGCTGGACTCGGAGGAAGCGGACGGCTTGCGCGCGAAGGATAGGCCGTTGTCTCTGGTGTTGGTAGCGGTGGCGGCGCCGGTAGTATCCCGGGGCTCACTGTCCATCGTATTGGTCCCTGAGGTGTATCACTAGTTAACTGATCCAATGGTTGGTGGCGATGATCGCGGGATTCGTTGTGAGAGAGAGACACAAGAAGTCACTATTTAATTGATCCGTTGAACGCCTATCACATTATCAACACATAAGGGGACAGACATGTGGCGGCCATGGATGGCATCGTTCATAGTGTGCTATAATGAGTGCATTTCAATGCCATTCAATGCTTAACCCTTTGATTGTAGGGTTCGTGTGAACGATGCCATCCATGGCTGCCATAAGTCTGGTTATTATATAACAAATACTTGTGTTTATGAATAGGCAGTCGCAGACACCGTTACCATTAACCCCTCGTATAGTGAACTGTATCTGCGAGTGACTCTCTGTGTTAAACGAGTTTTCATAGTAAACAAACATCAGCGCCATCTATGGGGGGCAGTAGGGGGTCGACTGTTACTAGAGATTCAATTGAATTAAAAGTTTTCCCAAAAGTTTGTGTGATTTTTAAAGGTCTCTCGCAGTCATTATAACCACAAAAACTATTACATACGTTAATGGGTAGGCATAGAACATACAAACACCCGGGTATTATATTTCACAACATAAGAGTTGCATAATATACACGACATGTTACGAGTTATGCGATTACGACTGCAATCAGCGAGAAATTGATGCAAAAAACTTGATATAAAACTTAAGTTTTCTTAATAGCGATGTCAACAGCTATAATGCAATGGTTTTTCTATGGGTTTATATATACTGTGTATTAGCGTTGAGTGTCGATAGTAACGATTAGTTAACAACACATACATAGCTCTCTCTCTCTCTCTCTCTCTCTCTCGCTGCGAGAGAGTATGTGCTATAACTATGAGATTACATAACCATTACATCACATGTTTGCGATGGTAAGTGTTGCAACACTTAATGCCTTTCACTGTATATAATATTAATACAGTTATCAGTGAATATAGTATGTGTGTTAGATATATATACATGCAAGCAGTATATGATTAGTTCGAGTCGTATATATATAAAACTAATATTAAACTGTATTTAATATATAATAACATATTATTATTATCGCTGATATATGACTGTTACTACTATCAAACACCAAACCATACATTGGCTGCATATTCACGTAATGTAGAAGTGAAGTGAAATTTAGTGCAATTCATAGGCATTGCTGTCTCTCTCTCTCTCGCTCTCACTCACCATATAATAGGCACTCAATTGATAAACAAATATAAAAACTCATAAAATAAAACTTTTTATATATTAATATAGCATTTGTGATAAGAATCCGCACACATAAATGGCTTCGTTAGTCGACTCCATTGGCGGCCAATCGCCACAACACAGGACCGCATATATGGCGAAACACGCGCTGGTGAACGGCCATCAGTCCGGTGTATCCCATGTATCCCACGTATCCCATGGAGTATCCCCGGCGACAGCGCCGGCATCTGTGCCCGCGTTCGTACTAAGACTGCCCGACCACCAGAAAGAGTTGCACCGATTCATCGGCGACCTCTTCGACAGCCAGACCCACACGGATGTGACCATCGCTCTGGATGACGGCCAGTACATCAAAGCCCATAAACTCATACTATCGGCCTTCTCGTCCTACTTCCGGCAAGTGTTGGCCCGCATACCCAACCCCTCACAGTATCCGGTGATTGTGGTGAAGGACATGCACTACGAGGACGTGCGGTCGCTGATTGAGTTCATCTACAGGGGCTGCATTACGGTGGCCAACCATAGGCTGCCGCAAGTGCTCAAGTGCGCCAAACAGCTCAAGGTATTCATGGGAGTTGATCCGTGTCTTAGTGTCTGTGGTGTCTGTGTTTTTTAGGTGTTGAGACGTGTTTATGTTGAATGTCTGCAGAGTTTTTAGTATCCATTCGTTGATAGGATACCATTGGTATCCATGAGTTGATCGCAAGTCTTAGTGTCGCTGTATCTGTGAAACTATTTTTTTGTTTGTATCTTAAGACTTGTTAGTATCCATTCAATGGATCCATTGCTTATTGATCTCATGGTATGGATACGAATGGTATGCCATGAGTTCATCTCAAGTATTGTGGTGTCTCTCAGTTCCAGCTGTGAAGCCATTATTGTCAATGCCTTAAGACTTTTCATATGTGTTATAGCAATGGTTTTCAGTGAATCATTGAATGCTACGATAATAACCATATTATCAGTAAAACATTAACCAAACCTTTCCATGTATTCAATATTCATTAGAAAGACTTATCACTAGTTTTTTCTTATCTCACATGTATTGAGCTCTTTATGAATACACGTATTCTTATGGTCTGTAATCCTTTCATTGAAAAAAAGTTTTTTAAGTTTTTTTAATCCAATTTTTTATGAATAATTTTTTAAAAATTGCATTAAGCCTTTAGTATCTAGAATATTTTGTTTTGATTTCATTTCAATGGCTTTTAATAGCTTTAATTACAGTGCGATTGAAACCATATTTTTATAATAGTTTGTTTGTCGAGACATATGAACCATATTTCTAAATATTTCGCTAATGATATCCCAAAACAGTTATTGGGTTATAATATATTTGCAATTACGGTACACACAAAGTCTCTCTCTCTCTCTCTCAGCTCTTTTGGCAAACTATTCCTAACTCTCTATTACAGGAAGTTTTGAAATCATTGATCTATCAGTTAATCAACGGTTTTAATTCATCCGTTCAATTAATTCTCTATACAAACAGCACACAAAAAAACAACAATTTATTTCTCAATCCATACGAAACACTCTCTCATATTCTCATTCTCTCTCCCATTCTCTCTCTCATACTCTCTCACTCTCTCTCGGTTTAGATTAGAGGACTCTATGAGACAAACGAGGAAAATAGCGACGAAAATAATTTCGACAACTCTTTCGCCAACTGTAGGAATATATCGCAAACGCTGGACAACACGACTACCGCTCCCACCAATAGCCCCACCACTAGCCCCGCAAAACCCAAAGACTATCAAAGTTATGACAATAAAAAGTTAGACCAAAAGGAGGTCATAGTGTTGGACAGGAATGAGAGCCTCAAAGCCAACACCAACTCTCGGGTGAGCCCGGAGTCCGGCAATAATAACTGGTATAACAAGGCGTCGGTATTAGTACCAAATCCGCCCAAATTCACGATACCGGCGCTCAACCACCACCCGCAGCCCATACAGCAACGGTCGGCGCTCGACTTAACCAAACCCACGGACAGCACCGCCGCAACGAAAGCACAATACACTGGACTACCCGTCCATACGATACACAGACCATTGGGGAACGGCTACTCCGGCGGCGGCGGGCACTTCACGTCACACCCGTCCCTATTCCGGTCGACATCCGTCGACGAGTGTCAGCTCATGAAGAATAAGCTACTGATGGCTAACGGGTTCCACGAGCGCCGGGCCCCCTCCTCGCTGGACGGACACCTGGACGACAACAACAACTCGGTGGACGAGTCGGACTACCGGCGCGAGAAAAAGCGGTCGTTGAATATATTTCACGCGGCGAAGTACCGGAACCGCAAGAAGCAACAGTTGGAGACCCTGTTCACTGAGGAACAGGAGCTCCAGAGGTCCAACTCGTCGGCGAAGATCCAGATCGAGAAACTGGAGGCCACTATACTGTCGCTGATATGGCAGCAAACGAAACGGCCGTTCAGTGGGCAGACAGTGTTCACGTGCCCGGTGTGCGGGAACGTCCAGAACGAGGTCCAGAAGCTGAGGAGTCATATAAATATGTTGCACAACGACACGGAGGCGCTCATGAAGTTCCTGATGCTCCAGAGGTCGCCCACGTTTGCCACCGCTATTACCACCGCCGCCGCCGCTACGGCCAGGGATGCCAGGGATCAGGTGCTGGTGAGCGCCGGTACTACGACACACCAGCGGCCCCCACAGATGACTGCCATTCCCGGCAACAGCGCCGGTACTGTGATTTCGCTGCCATATCATCACTGAACTAATTGTTCATAAATTTTATTTGTTTTGTTTTATTTGCAAATTTCATAACGATATGAGATTTTTGTGTTAAATGGAAATTAAGTACAACTTTTTAGGCAAAGAGTTACCCAGTTACTTTTGTTTATGTTAATTAAATTTTTATGATTATAATTATAGTTATTATATTAAAATGATTGTATAATATCGTTATATCCCACTGTATATTATAGTTTTAAATACAAATGTGTCGCGTATTGTATAGAAAACAAAAAAAACTTTTTTAATAACCAATTGATTGCTCAATAATAGGGTTCAAAAACAATTCACAATTCAAAATGATTTGTATTTAAAAATGTTTTATTTGAAAAAAATGTTTTATTTTTGACTGTTGTGTTTAAAAAAATACACTTTTTATTATCATCACATAAATCGTTATAATTTTTTTTATTCATTAAAAACTCATTTATTATATCGTATCATAAAATATACCGGTAACAATCATACGTATATATGATTCATAAGTATATAAATTTAAACATTATTGCTATGAATATCATCAAAATTATTTTTACATACATTTAAATACACATAAAATTTAAGTTTTGAAATACTATTGGAAAAGTATTTATGTTATACAATATGTTATACAATAGCTTTATAAGTGACTAATCATTTGCATAAATCATTAAAACAATAATTAGTGTTATATTTAGCAAAAAACTTTAGCCATTCATATAATACCCTATTATCACATGAATGGCAAACACTTGCGGCGATAGTATGGCATAAAAACAGACAATAAAATCATTTATCGGATCCATTGGAACCGCTGTCATCACCATTCGGGAGCAAAATGAAGAGATTTTCCAAATAAAAGCTAAACAACAGCGCCGGACACGTGATGTACACCAACAACAGGACAATCGCAAAGACTAAGGCATTCCTCCACCTCTTGAGATCGCGGATCACCACCTCTTGTCTCAACATATCTCTGCGGATGTCTTGCCAACAGTTATGCGTCTTCAGCTCCTCCCTCGTCATCCACTTATCGCACCCTTTCATACACGCGATCCGCTTCTTCGGGTTATAGTAGCAGTCATTCACGTGTTTGTCGAGCGCTTCCAACGCCACTATCGTCTGACAGCCATCGGTGGCGAAGTCGCACCGGATCTCCAGTTTCCCCAACAGATTGCGGACAACACGGGGGGCGGCCTTCAGGTTACGGGACGTGATGTACAGCCGGTCTATAGGGCAGGTCCTGTTGACGGACAGCCATTCGGTGATACACTGGCGGCAGAAGAGGTGCTCGCAGTCGGTGGTCAGCGCCTCCTCCAACACTTCGCTACATATGGAGCACAGGAGCTCTTCCGAGATGTCTTCGGTGAAGCGCTGACAGTCGTAGCCCATGGATCAGCTGATTGTCGTCCGATGAGTGCGTCGATTGTCACCCGCAATGTCTTGAGGCGCGCGTTGATAATGAGTGATAACTGTTGTGACAATTGTTTTGTTTATGTTTTTTGAGGCAAACGTTTGACACGTGTTTCGGGCGACAGATGGCTATCGTATGGCTGAGTGGCTGTATATAGTAAAGGCCCGCATTGTGTCGTAATATATGCGTTACGTTAAGTGCTTTTTATAAGTGCGAAAACGTTTGGCTATCGCACTCTCACTGTCCATTGACTGTGAGTTTGTGTTTGCATTTCGTAATCAATTCATACGTTCACTGATTGTATGGACTGTTAATCCACTGACCATTGAGTCCATGGTTTAGTCGACTATCAAAACACGTGTTAAACGGTAACCACAATACTCGCCGTAAACTCAACTCTTGGGATCAGCTATGAGTGCGAAGACTAATCTCAAGACACACGCGAACAGCGACGCGAAGACTTGTGTCGATCCAAATGTAGGATCAATTGGCGGCTCAAGAAGTGAGTCCACGAAACACTGCACTAATAATAATAATCACGTGAAACCCGTGAACGAGTCCATCGTCATCACCAGTGACACCACTATCAGAGATAATAACAGAGATAATAATCATAATTACGACCACAAAAGACATCACCAGACAAACAGATCCCATGACTATTATGGCAACAATTCTAATCACTTCCGGTGAGTGTGTGTGTGTTGTGACCATTGTTTGTGATGATAATGGCGTGTATTTGATCCCATTTTGTGCAGATATTATGACCGAAACCGACCCACGGATGGCGTGTCGTCGTCCAGGACTTGGAGTAATCGCGCTAACGATTACCACCGAAGAGGTGGCGATCATCGCGCGAATGACAGACACTATCGCGTCGATAGGATATCGGATGATAAGCGGCGATCAGATCCTAAGACTGAACTTAAGACTGGATCCACGAGCGACTCCAGAAGCGAGTCCAAGACTGCGCCCACGAGTGACTCCACAAGTGATACCAGACATGTGTCCAACACTGGGTCCAGAAGTGATAATACCAGACACGTGTCCAACACTGGTCTCCACTCACACGACCAGAAAGTCCACAATTCAAGAGATTATTATCATTCAAATGACTACAAGTGAGTGTTTGTTACCATTGTTTGCGTTGATCTCTAAATCAATGGCCATATGTTTGAATGTCTTTCGCAGAGCTCATGAGCGAAGTTCTTGGAGGAGAGCGCACAGACCGGACAGGAGTGCCAAATATGATCACCACTACACCACTCATTACAACCACAACAGCCAACGCAGACATCACGCCAACGATCGACAGCACAATGGTTTGGATCAGACGTGTGAACCGAAACCATCGACAACTAGTGCACCAAATAGTGATACGAACTTAAAGACCAACTCTTGTGATGAGTCTTCGGCCGAAGACTCGGCAGTCGACGAGTATTTGCAGCAAAAATTGGATGAAATAACGGCTCTTAAGAGTATATTCGACGAGAATATCCTAACCATCGATGAGACGGAAATGAAGGGCCGGTTTTTGGCCGACCCGGCGCTCAATACCACCGAATTCGTGGTCTGCTATGAGATATCTAATGGCAGATCAGCTGATGACAGACCTGTCGCGAAGACTGAAGAGTTTTCTGTGCAACACTTACCACCCATTGAGCTCTACTTTGAATTACCCAAAGGATATCCGCTGAAAGTGAACCCGAAGTTCTTGATATCGTGTAAATGGATTGATATCTTGAGATTAGGTCCGTATCTAACCCATGGATTGCGTTATTATCTCTGTATTTATAGTCTAATTATCTCTAAACAGAAGTCATTTGCCATAAACTCGAGTGCCTGTGGAAAGAGTCCCAAATGGAGATACTGTTCACGTGGTTCTCATTCCTCCAGAACGATATCATCGATTACCTGAAGATTGGCCACCGATTGGACATCACATCCATTACGAACGCGCGGCCAAAGTATGTCACAAGAACTGAATTCGACTCCAAGTCCTCCAAAAGTGATGCCAAAAGCGATGCCAACAGTTTGACCACACTTTCCGTGTCCGGCATTCAAGGGGCCGGTAGTCGGCACCACCACACCAGCAGCGCCTCGCGAGTGATTGAGTTCAAGCCGAGCGCCGACAGGGGCGCCGGTATGTACGACGGGAGGGCCGCCTCGGACGCGATGGGCAAACAGTTGATCCCATTCCTCATCGACTATAATGAGCACAAACGGCACGAGACGTTCAACAACTCGTACAACACGTGCAACATATGCTTCAGCACTCACTTAGGCCGGGAGTGTGTGGTGTTCCCGTGTCGGCACATCAACTGTCGGACGTGTATCGGCAACTACTTCACGACACTGATAAAGGACGGCACGGTCGGCCAACTGAAGTGCCCGGACGTGGACTGTCAGACGGCGGCGCCGCCTAATATGGTCCGGGAGCTGGTGTCCGACGACCTGTTCACGAAGTACGACAAACTAATGCTGGAGACACTGATCGGGAGTATGTCGGACGTGCACTACTGTCCCCGTAAGACGTGCGGGCAGTTTGTTATTGGGGACACCGACTCGTCGCTGGCCCACTGCCAGGCCTGCGGGTACGCCTTCTGCAAGAACTGCAAGTATACGTACCACGGGTTTGATCCGTGCAATATGTTCCGGGACGCTCAGCAGCGCAAGGTTATACTCGACAAGTACGCCAACGCCACCGGTAGGTGTCTGTCCCTAGGAATTAGGGGTTATGTAATGAGTGCGTACGGTTT